GGAAAGCCTTGCCTGGTCGGCTCCTGGAGTTCCACCATTTGTCCCGTGTGACCCGATTATAGCTTTGATCGAACAGCCAAAGCAGCCATCTGCAAAGTACTCAAGGCTTCAGCAAAAGGCATCTTTGATTTCTTTTCAGTGCCTTAAATGTGCTTGTAAAGTCACCTTGAGCACACAAAGATGACTTCTGTTTCTCTTGTTGATGAGCTTTCAGATGATCTCATTAGAAAGTGTTTGATACTGGGCTGCGCTGCCACTGGGAGGAATGATATTCTTTCGCCTCTGTTCTTTCTGGCTTCTTCTAGATTCTGTTATCGAATGGAAGTTTTTAACTTATCTTAGTGTGCTTCTGCGGCCTTTTTGTCATGAAACAGAAAAAAAAAAATCTAATGATTTCTGATCCAAACACCCCAGGCTGTTAGATAAATGAAATATCCTGAAAACAATTATTTCTCATTTGTCAGCAAAGCAGTCCTTCCTCCCCATCTGGGCGTGCTGTTCTGACTGCCCTTTTTCCCTGGCCAGTACATCTGAGTGGCAAGCTCCCCATTTGCTACGGCCTCAGACAGCAGGGCTTTAGTCAACTTTTTTTAATGCCACATCTTTAATACACTACGGAAAATGTTTCTGAGAATACGCTTCTAAGGAGAAATTCAGTGCGTTCTTGGTTGTTCCACAGCAACAAAGAAATGAGGGGGTGGAAAAAAAAAAAATCACTATCACAAGGCAGGCAGTTTCTGAATTACACCTCAGTATAACATTAATAGAGCTCTGCCAAACTCATTATGAAATGAGATAAAAAGGAACTGAAGTGATTTTTTGCCTTTATGTGGCACCACATAACTGAAATGGACAAAGGTCCAAATGTACCAGATGAATCTTGAATGATTACATTTAAAAATAATCAGAAGAATTACAACCACTTCTCTCTGCTCTGCTAGAGGATGGGCAATACATTTTATTTGCGTATATGAACTATTCTTCAGACTCCCTTGTGCTTCTTCCTGCCTTTGAGCTGCCACTAGTTCCATGCTTGATTAGCTACGACGTTCCTTTCAGCAGCTCCAGCTCCAGAGAGGCGGGAAACAGCAGAGACACGGAATTATTCTAGAGCATGACCAGAAACTCAGCAATGCATACTGCAGCGGCAGAGAGAGGGAGGAGAAAGGAGAGGTCTTTTACTGAGCCAAGTCAATACTCAACTAAAAAGGAAAAAGCTCTCTGTTGCCTGCAAGTTGGGAAACTAAGAAATGAATACTCAGGAAAATTTATTTCCCTCTGGTATTATATCCCTGCTATTCAGTGTGCTGGGAAATAACAAAAGGAAGGGAGAAGTAGAATAGCTCGGATTAGACCCCCTTGAAAAATATGGCCTACAGATTTAGAAGCATCACAGCAGAACCAAACATTCAACATGCTTCTGCCCTTTAAGGATGGGCAAAGCAAAAAGTGATCACAGAGATGTAACTAACTATACATGAAAAAACAGGATTGCAGTTCTCAAAACTGATATCCTTGGAACTAATAGGGAATAGCCCCCTCTTACACTTATCTAATCTCGCTAACACTACCTTAAACTGAAACAGGAAAAACGCTGTTGCTTGTGTCTTAATGGATGATACCACCTCCCCCATTTCATTTTTTATATTTTACGTACAACCTTTTTCCACCATAATTTCTGATTTGCAAGTTAATCTAGATTTATGCAAATCTAGGTTAACAAAAATTTGGTATCAGCCACAAATTTCAGTAAGCACTATGACACGTGGAAAAAAGTAACCCAGGCAGCTGAGAAGCCAACCAACTCTGGCATCGATAACAGGATCGGGGGAAAAGGAAGGAGGAAGAGGAGAAAGAATGGAGGCACGTTACAGACGTTAACATGTATGGAAATGGCACAAAAATCTATCATGACTTAACTCAAAGGATCTGGCTGGACAATAACTCCTTTTTTAAACAAAGTATATCTCACCTGGACTTTATTAAAACGTTTGATATAGGACTGTCTAAGAACAGACAATTAGTAAAGCTAAATAAGAGATGTGTAGGAAATTGTACTGCACTGAAAGAATAGATCATGTGCAGTACAGAGAACGATTATAAGCAAAGCTCTTCCTTCTCGGCATTAATATTCTTCAGTGTTTGTGTGTTAATGAAATTTCTAATGAAACAAAATCTGCAGGCACTGTTAAGACAAAGGGCGATCAGAACAACTATGGCAAGAACTGGGTAACCTTGAGGACTGTAGCAATATTAAGACCATTGATTCAGGCGAACAGCGTTATGAAATGCCAAGTCATGTGTTCCTAGTACCATGCAAAGAAACTTCTACCGAAAGCTAGAACCCACTGCTGGAAAATGAGTGAGGAAGGGAAAGACCTTGCTGTACTGTTTTTTTTACCTGTGAAAGGTACGCAGCTGTGAAGAAAGGCAAAGGTGGCTCTTGGAAAAAGGGCAGGATTAATGCTAGAGCGTAACACAGATTTCATCTGGGATACTGTTTCTGGTGCTAGTTATTCCTAAGGAATAGCATTAGCTAGTTCTGCATTTCTCTTAACATACTCTCATATCAGAAAGCTAAAAGAGACTGGCATATTTGGTTTCATGAAATGAAGCCTATGATAAACTCTGACCGCTGTTTTTAAATATATTATGAAGGTCCCAGCACGGCTGGGGAAGACATTGAACTAAAAAAAAAAACCAACTGTTGAGACAAGCAGCGAGTATAATTTCATGCCTTCATAGCCATGAAAACACTTGGGGTAGAATTTAGAGAATTTCTAACCATCACAAGAGGGCAGTGGTGAAACGGACGTCCAACGGGATCAGCAGGGCAAGAAACCAGGCTAACTTTTAGCATGCAGCTTAACCAGTTTAAGGAAGTGATTACGCCTTGAGTACTTGCACTGAACGACTCGGAAGGTCACTTTCAATCTTATTCGCTCTCCCTATCTCCCTACCAGCATTTTTGTCTGAAGCGATTCCTAAAGATTAGACAGACTCAGGTTTTTTTACCTGAACGGAGTGACATAGATAAAGAGCAAGAATTTTCTAAAGCAGCATGAAAGTGTTTCAAAACACAGTTCAAATATTACTTCTATCCACATTCTACTGGCCTTTGCTACTGCAATGAGAGACAGGCTAGCTACATACAGTATCCCAATTTAAATCCATTTTACTTCTGTGATGCTGCAACAGAGCGAACAGATCCACAAAGGAGCGCTCCTACAAGCATCCTAACCGCTACGGTAAATTAAACTCCTACCCTTTCTATGATACAATGAGTACTGTGCTCTTCACACCAAGCACACCACCACTTTCAAGAGCTCAATACCCTGCTTTCCAGGATTTTCTTGAAAGACAGCTGATCTGGCTTCAAACTTCTACTCCAAATCAGATGAAAGGGAAATTTCAACCTAGAGGTCCCACATTCTAAGTCTGAATGAGAACAAGTGCTCTCACTAAAAAGCAGGGACATAATTTAATTTTCAGTTTCACACAATTGGAAAAAAGAGAAATTCCAGGTCCTTGTTACAACAACAATTAAAAGACACGGGCATAGCAAGCCACATTATTCAGGTTTACAGAGATTTTTATTGAGATAGTTATTCCAGTAGTTTTCTTGCCCATTAAAATCAGCCTACTAGACTGGTAAAAGGCTGCAGGTATGAAATTTTGAATCAAATGCTATCAATAGAAATTCTATGATGAACTGCAAAAGAAAAAACAACCAAGATTTTATCCATTCTCAAAAGAGCAAAGTCCATCATCACATTTGCTGGTTGTGTATTTCAGCATGCAGAAGGGGTAAACTTTAATGATAAAGGCTCAGTTTACTTATTTTATACGTGTAAATTATTTCAGACAGCAGTGTCACAAGTTTACTTCAGGAAAGGATTCTGGCATATCTTTAAATTACACTACAATGAATGAAACCGAGACACAAATTTAAAGTATATTCTTAAATGCTTTCTAGAATAGGAAAAAAACTCAGCTGTACCAAGTTCTTACCAGACCGCATCACAAGCTACTATCATTTTGTACTTCGGGGCACACAGAAATCCCGCATACTCTTTTATAATACAGAAGTTACTTTAAAAATGCACATACTTTTGTGGACCGTATCTTAAAACATGCCATTAATTTCCGTTTTGCTTGCCACATTCAACTTAATACACCCCGGATGAATTACCTACGGTTCTCCTGAAAAAGGAAATTTATCTTGAAAGTGCTGATACGATCTTAATTAGAGTGCCAAATAATGCACGCTTACAATATTGTCTTCACAAAAGTGATCATTAATTGTTTTTTCTTTGATGTACTTAGATTCCCTGAAGATTTTTCAGTGAAAAGAGATTTGAAATTTTATTTCACCACGTAAGTTTTAGCTACATAGGAAGCTCGATAGAGACACCAGCTATTAAATCAGTATGTATAACAGACTGCGTTACATGCCTTGAAAGTTTACAGCACAGGGGTTAGAAAAAACCCACAAACCACCTATTTCAAGGACAATTCTAACCTCTTGCCATCATTTATAAATGAAAACAAGCTGGCACGCGGTTCAG